TCGGATTCTGTGTCTCCCTCTCTCTTTCTGCCCCTCCCCCACTCTGTCTCCCCAAAATAAACAAACATTAAAAAAAAATTTTTTTTTAAGTTTGACAACGGAATAATTGGGGGGAGGTGGACATCCTAAGAGGTAAATCCCTATTCAGTAGTTTGGTTCTAGGAAGTTTTCCTTGGCCCATGTTAGGTGTGAGTAGGTGACACTGCTTTTTTACTCTAGATTTCTATATTGTTTTTATCTTTTAAATTTAACAGTATGTATGATTTTTGTAACGTAAAAAAAAAAAAAATGCAAGTCCGGAAGAATACATCCTTAATAACATCATTCTTAGCAAGTTCAAAAGCAAGCTGAACAATATAATGACAGGAAATTACACATATGTGAAACATCTATAAAGAAAAGTACAGGGGGGCACCTGGCTGGCTCAGTCAGTAAAGCACGTGACTCTTGCTCTCGGGGTCGTGAGTTCAAACCCCACTTGGGCACTGAGTTTACTTAAGAAAAAAAAGTACAAGAATAAAAAAGAATAACACTAAAGATGGGTTACCTTCTAAAAGGTGGACAGGAGTTTAGGGAGTAATGTAGACATGTCGAGGGTAACAGTTATGTCCACTTCTCAAGGAGGGGGTAGTATTTTGCATAATAACTTACATGAATGCCACATACATAAGTTTGTATGTATCAAAGAACCTCTAGAGTGTTTTTGTTACTTTTTTTTTTTTTTTTTTTAAAGGGGAGTGGGGAAGAGAAGGGAAGGAGGTCGAGTCCCTGGTCTTGAAAGCAAATATTCCCTGGATTGAAATTCCCCTGGCCCACCAGAGCCAGCTCAGTTCCCACCCACTCCATTTCCACAGCTTTCCCCAGCTCTGTGGCACTAACTAGGCTGCCTTCATGCAGCCACGGTGATTACTAATGGCATCATGAATTTGCTACTGTGACGCAATTTCAGGCAGGACATTTAGTCTGCCTGAGGTCCGCTAAGAGGTCAAACAACATTTTCATTCCATCTTTACGTTTCAGTTCTAAGCTACATGCTGAGGTAAAGGGGGTAGGCGTGAATCAAGAGTATCTCCTGAGCATTATCACATGGCAGTTTCAAAAAAGGTACTACAGGGACATCTGGGAGGCTCAGTCAGTTAAGCGTCCAACTCTTGATTTTGGCTCAGGTTATGATCTCCCGGTTCATGAATTCAAACCCTGTGTCTGGCTCTGCACTGACAGGTCAGAGCCTATAGCCTGCTTCAGATTCTGTGTCTCCCTCTCTCTCTCTGCCCCTCCCCATTCATGCTCTGTCTCTTTCTCTCTCAAAAGTAAAATTAACATTAAAAAAAAATTAGAGACTCAAGTCTAGAATGTGTTAAAAAAAATCATTTCTAAACATCAGGCAAAAAAATTCCATTCATATACAGTTGTCTGTTTCTTTCCCTCGAAGCTTCTCAATACTTTCACCAAGTTCAAGGTCTCTAAGATTAATCACCATGGAGGAGAGTGGGGTCTTACATGCAAGGGAAAGAAAAGGAAAACAGGATGGGCTGAAGACTAATTCAAGGTGTCCCTTAGAGTTTCCAAGTTGTATTCACCATTATTAATCTCAGATCCCAACAAGTGCCCAGAGCCTGCATTAAAATGCCTCTTTGGGAGAATAAAGTTAAGTCCTCTCTACTAGTTTTTGAAATTTAAATATGCTATTGCTTTTTAAAGGGGTGGGGGAGGGCTCCTGAAAACACTTAAGAATTAGAGGGACCAGAGTGCAATATTGCCTAGGTAAGTGCTCATTTTCTGCTTATGAATTAAGGGACTGGTGTACCAAGTAAAGAGACTCGATCAGCATTTAGCAACTTTTGTGGTCATTTTCAGAATTTTCTTCAGGACTTTAGCAGGGTGTGTATATACACACACACACACACACACACACACACACACACATACATAACAAGATTTATGTATATGTATATATATATATTACATAACAAGACATACAAATTTTAAACTTTCTTTTAAATTTAAGAACCCCCTAGAGAATGGGAAAAAAACAATTTGCTTCCATCTGATGGCAGGAACTCATACTACAGTCAAAGCAGTTTATTAAGCTTTATGTTGATAAACTGGCTTTCCAATGAAGAATCTCCTAGAGGATAAGGGGAGAGAAATTAAAAAACAAACAAACAAAAAACAAATAAAATCACAATCTGTATCTCCATCTGGTGGCAGGAGTTCATACTACAGCCACAGCCCAAGGTTGATAAATTAGGACAGTGGGCAATAAAAGGACATAAGAGAATTCATTAATTCTGGAGAGGTCAGCTATTTACAAATTTGTTGTCTGAAAGAACATAATACAGTTATGATGTTCTATCCTTAACAAATATAAATTTCAGTAATATGCATGCAAATTTCAAAATATAAAAATTCTTATCGAGCGTTCTGGGGAAAAAGAGTTAAGTGTATACCTGTGTAAAATACTTCCCATCCGGTTTCAGTACTTTCATCGAGAGGTCAAGAATCAGTCTGAGAAACTCCCATGTAGAATCTGGATAACAAAAAAAATTAATTATATAAATATGGGTTTACATGCATCAGAAACATCTAATGTCAAATATTCTCATTAATATTCAAAAATACCAACAAAAGAAAGTAGCCAAGAGCTTGAGACTCCATATTCAAAATCTTATTTGTAAAAATGTACTGTCTTTTTGGGGTGTCTTGCACACACGTGCATATACTCAACATCAAAAGCAAACATCCTTGGGGCGCCTGGGTGGTCAGTCGGTTGGGCCGCCGACTTCAGCTCAGGTCATGATCTCGCGGTCCGTGAGTTCGAGCCTTGAGTCGGGCTCTGTGCTGACAGCTCAGAGCCTGGAGCCTGTTTCAGATTCTGTGTCTCCCTCTCTCTGACCCTCCCCTGTTCATGCTCTGTCTCTCTCTGTCTCAAAAAAAATAAATAAACGTTAAAAATTAAAAAAAAAAAAAAAAAAGCAAACGTCCTTGTGCTTAGCACTGCTCTCACAGTACCAATAAAGATTAGACAGAAAGGCAGTGGATGAAATCTAAAAGACAACAGGTTTAAGAGGGAAGTTCCAACATCCCAAGAGAGAAACAGCAAGGGTCATCAGGTGGGGACCCAGTCTGCAAACTCAGCAGGAAGACAAGGTTATAGAAAAACAGTAACACTGACATGCCAAACCAGCAGTGATTTACAGCGTGTGGTTTGAGAAGGGGAATAGTCACTGGTGTTGCTTAGAAAGGTCACCAGTTTGTCCTAGTACAGGTTAAAAATCATATAATGTAGGGGAGCCGGGGTGGCTCAGTTGGTTAAGCACCGACTTTTGATTTCGGCTCAGTTTATGATCTCACAGTTTTGTGAGTAAGAGCCATGCGTCCGGCTCTGCGCTGACAGTTCAAAGCCTACTTGGGATTCTGTCTGCCCTTCTGCTCACACTGTTTCTTTCTCAAATAATTTTTTTTTAAATCACATAATTTAAGTAAATTACCAAACAAGCTAATTTCTCAATAATGTGATTGAGTCATTTTATTTAATGTTTCTCTCAAATGACTGAGTAAATGTGCTTATTTAGTGACAGAACAGGATATGACCAAAGCCAAATCCAGCCATCTTTCCACTGTGCGCTGCAGTTTAACTACCTTGAAAAAATGAAGGAACTTACTATGTAGACAATCTCTAAGAACCTTTCATTCTCACAAAGTGCCAAGAAAAACATTTTCATGAACACTGTCTTGGTTAGAAAACAAAAAACAGAATCTACCTTCTTCTGGAGATGTGGAGATTGGAACAGCTGTCAAATCATTAATCACATAATCAAACTCTCTCCCTTCTTTGGCGTACCTCTTCAGTACTGGAATACAGTCTTCTATTAGAACCTTCCAAAGAGAAAAGGAATAGATGTATGTGAGCCAACTCATGTGGAAGCAGTTAAGCCCTTGTAGAGGAGGGAGGAAAATGCAAGCTGTTGCTGAGATCCACAACACCTCCATGAACAAGGAATGACTTCCATCCATGCCTATAAGAGCTACAATTCAGTGCCTACTATATGCTTTAGTATGCCTTCTCATTTAATCTAAGCAACAATCTACAGGTGCTATTAATGACCCCCTAGTTTATAAGTGGAAAACAAAGTTAACAGAGGTTACACAGTGCTTGCTTTGCTAGCACACATACTAAAATTGGAACGATACAGAGAAGATTAGCATGGCCCCTGTGCAAGGATGACACACAAATACTTCCGGAAGAGAGAGAGAGAAAGAAGAGATGGGTACCATATCTTGCCCAAAGGTACCCAAAATAAGAAACGGAGCCAGGGCACCTGGGTGGCTCAGTCGATTAAGCATCGGATTCGATTTTGGCTCACATCATGATCTCATGGTTCATGAGATTGAGTCCCAAGTCAGGCTCTGTGCTAACAGTGTGGGCCCTGCTTGGGATTCTCTTTCTCCCACCTCTCTCTGCCCCTACCCTACTCATGTGTGCTCTCTCAAAATAAATAAACTTAAAAAAAAATACAGTATATAATACATATAACATACCAAATGTGTTAACCTACTATTTATGTTTTTTTAATGCATGCCAATGTATTTGCTATGAATAACACATTTTTAAAAAGTTTTTATTTATTTATTTATTTTTGAGAGGGAGAGAGAGGGAGAGGGAGAGGGAGAGAGAGAGAGGGAGGGAGAGGGA